TTATTTTAGACTTAGTCAGATTGTGCAGTCAGAGGTATGTTGCTATTGTTGTTTCATAAGTTGCATTATTTACATGTATATGTGGACTAGTTGACTTCAGTCCATTGTGAAATGAATTCCATAGTATTGTGTGGAGTAATTGTATTGGACTTTTCTGCATTTCAGGGTTTTTGGATTGTCCATATTACAGGGGAGACTCTGCCGAAATTTTTCCAGAATAAGTAATTTCAAGATTAAGGTTCTTGCAAGTAGAAGTTAACATTCGTGGAAGAATATTCTTAAGGGGGGGAGGATGTTACACCCCATAAGTTTCTAGCATTTAGTCAGCCTATTCGCATGTTGGTTTAGAGTTTTAGAGTGTCATACGTACGAGAAAAGGGCTCGGGGAAAGGCCAAACGAGTGCCAAGTCGGGATTTCGCGAGAGGAGGCCGAACCAAGATGCCCAGAGGGGCAAAGTGGCACGGAGCTGCTCCTCTGCATTAGCCAACGTGGCACAGAACAGAATCAGCGCGTTGGGAAACATGCCACGTTGCCTTGTCTAATGCCTCAAGTATATAAGGGTCTCACACTTAGAAATGAGATTATAAATTATAAATCATGACCAGCAGAGAATAGGGACGAAGGAAAACCTTTAATTTTCATCTGATTATGCCGCTAAACACCGTCCAAATCCAAATTAACTTCGGGTATCGAAGTATAAGGCTGCAGGGAGCATTTCTACGGAGTTAGTTTCATGAAATTCGCCCGGCGAACCGTTGTGTCACTGAGCCAAAGTTGTTGGAATTTTTCCAAACTAGTGTCAATATGATCCCAGGCTTAAAGTAAGTATTTCTCCCTTATAGAATTTCGAGAAATAACGAGGTTTCGACCGTTTTTCGTAAAGTTAAAATATAGTTAATATTTATATACAAAGTTTTCCTTTTTGCCGAACTTAGTGTTAAAACTAGTCTTATCTTTCTAATAACACGATTTTAGTTGGGAAGAGATATTGAATACTAATTGGAACCTATCAGTTAATTAGAAACCGGCAATCGAGGTATGTTAAGGCATTTTCTTTCGGCAAGTTAGTTTCTTCAGCATAATAATCCAGTATGAATCCCTATAAAGCATGTCAGGAGTATGTTATCATGTTCAGTTGTTGTTGTCAGTTGAGACTCGCAAATTGTATTGTTTTGGGTTGGATTATACCTGTATAGCTTCCGTGACCACCCCAGGGTTAATAGTTGTGTCGCCGCCCGCCAAGGGTGAGGATACGTCGCTCTACGGAGCGGCATGCCGTCCGCAAGGGACGAAGATGGGGATCCAGATCCTCATATTGATGTGGTTGGCTTTGTACACACCCCCGCCGAGCGCTTACACCCCGGGTGTAGATATCAGGAGTCTTCCAGACTCTGACACAGCTACAGTCAGGGGCTGAGCAGGCCCAATTGTAGACCCAGGGGATCGGTAGGACGCTTATAGCCGGTAGTTGACTCAGTATGACCTGGATAGGGTTATATAGATTGAGGTGTACTCACTAGGACTAATGGGGGCCCAGGTGGGTTATTCTGTGTTTATTGTACCTTCCGGCTTATGGGGGCCAAGTAAGGTTTATGCTTTCTTTAGTTACTGATAGTTAGACAATAAGACGCCTCATTTGCCATGTATGAACCCTACCTTCTTTATTATATTTATGTTTAGACCTCATTTCACTAATTCAGTCATCTTCAGTCCATTTTCTTTACTTCAGTCATTGTTAGTTATATTTCTTACTTTCAGTTATTTAAAGTTACTAGTTTACATACTCAGTACCTGTGGTACTGACGCCCTCTTCTGGGGTGCTGCATTACTTGTCTGCAGGTACAGATAGACGAGAAGCAGGTCCCTCGTAGTTGCAGTCAGCCGTACAGAGCCATCAACTCCTTTCTTCCGGAGCTTGTGTGATATAGGTTTACTTCTTTTGTTTGTACAGTATGGGTAGTTCGGGGCCCTGTCCCGACAATCTTATTACTCCTAGAGGCTTGTAGATTGCATTACTTCCCTGTGGTTAGATGAGATCGGCCGTGTGGGGCCCATATGTGTTTTAGACTTTGTGTGTTGGCCTTTTGAGGCCCTATTTAGCTGTTGATTGGTGGCCTCTTCGGTCATAGCTCAGTTTAGCATCGGCCTTTACTTTCCAGTTATAACTAGATATCATAGTGGCCTTGTCGGTCCACATAGGACTCCCCTATAATTGTTTGTCTCTAGTTAGCTATTTATTTTTTACAGGTGGCTATAGTCCTTGTCAGCCGAGGGTTGTATTTACAGTCGCTATATAGCCCGTTGTTTTCTTGATTTTAGCGTTAGAGTCATCCCTTCACCAGAGATGCTTAGGCTCAGTCAGCTCAGTAGTTTAGGTCCTAGTAGGGCTCCCAGGTGCAAGTCATGCCTCCCAAGGTGGGGCATGACAAGGGGAAGATCTATTTATGATATAGTTCAAGAAAGAGTCGCCTCATTTCCTTACTTCTTTCTAATTCATTCACTTCAAGAATGGTCCTGAACGCCGTGTAACATCATCTTCAACCAACCTGCACCGTACTTTCAATGTGACCACTAAAGATTTGCTTATACACTAAAGAGCTACTTATATACGTTTATTCTAAGACTGACTTTCATTCATTATCATTTTCTAGCGTTAAACTAAGTAAAAGAGATGTGCGTAAGGCGGCATGTAAGCAAACTGTGCATGCTAAGAGAAGAGGACAGATGTTCGCAATTACTACCACAAGAAAGCCTCCCCCTATCTTCTAAAGGGGCCCATCACTTCATTCGTACCTTCTTGGCTTAGGGCTTCCAACTGAACAACATGGCCTTGCTACCCCGCCACTAGCAGAAGCTAAGAACTTGAAAAGCGCGCTAAAAAGGTTGCTTCTGTTTCCCTTTCTGTGCAATAGTCCACCAGTAGCGGAAGAGAGTGTTACTGTACATACAAGAGTCTTCCAGTTCTTATGGAAGCTCTTTCTTACCATTCAATCAAGTAGTACAAGAACTGTATCTTATCTTATAGCCCAGCATAGCTGGTTGCCTTTAAAATTAATTAAGTAGATAGAAGAAAGTATTAAATAGATAAGGAGTAGGTGAGTGAGCGAGTCCTCACTGACATGAGCGATTTCGATCACCTAGCAGGCCTTTTATTTGGTAGGTAAAATTACCAAAGCGTATCATCAGATTTGACTACGAATGAAAGAACTCGAAGCGAAAGGGCACCGTCTTGTGCAAGGCAACGATAGTTGGCCCTCTATCATCTTCTATCTGGTAGACTTGGTAAAAAGGCCCCGACTTATTTCTAGAATTAGAGTTTGACTGCGGCTTCCCCCTTTTTTGCGGGGGGATCAAGTTCCTTGCCAACTGCCACCTATCGACCCCAATCTCCTTTCATTTGTTTTGGATATTACCAAACCTAGCCTATCCTTCGTAAGTCACAGTAAAGATGACACCCAACTATGGAAAAGCCTCCTTAAGGGTGGTGTAGGTTATTTAATCTGGCTCAAGACACGTTCGTTGACAACATAGGAATTCCTACTTTTCAATAGAGCGGAGGTGAACTGATCAACGAGAAAGAGGCCCTACTCACTACAAACGAATGCACCACAAGATTGAACTACACTCATGTCTCTCCCGCATCAAGTTGAACACCCCCCTACATAGTGATTCTATCAATCATGTACATAGGTAGGACCCTCTATATCATGAACAAAGAAAGCCATTTGCACCAGGCGCACTGCGCTTTTCCTTGCCCAGATGTTCGCCTTTATAAGTCAAGTAATGGTGACCCATCGAAGATTGAAGCTTCGTAACATGTAGATGAAGGCCCCCAAACTGAGGTTTCGGTTAGTAGAAGGGATGACTTTGTCTCCCCGGAAGAAGAATAGCCCCGCTCTCTAGCCGACCGATCCCGTTGATCATATAACTGGGAGGGAATGTATCATATTAGAGGTGAACAATCAGTGGTGTCCTCTAATCACTACGAAGAGGATGGTCCCTCTTTTAGTAGAATCATCTATGAATATTCATTCAGAAATGAATGCGGGTCTCTTTCTTTCACTGCTAACCCCATTTTCAACATGCTGAAACTTTCTATTTCATTGAGCCCCGAGCTTGTGGTCCTCCTTTGAGTGTGGGTTCAATTGAATGAATATGTCAAGTCATGGAAAATGTAGGTAGCAGCAAGGATGGTGCATCGCCTATTTATAATTCTTGTTCAAGAGCCAAAATGAACACACTTTCTACCTACTATACTGGACCTTCAACCAGGCATTCTACCTTAGTCAAATCAGAACCAATACCACTGCATTGCGCTCAAACAGTTGAGCGGCCACCGGCCAGCAACTTCTGTGCACAGATATAGATTCATTCTTCGCACCTGGTCTAGCCTCAAAACCCTTCGCAAGTTGGTAATAAGTCAGTCTTGTTTGGTAAGATGGAATTACACAAATAAAAAAGAGTGCTCGACCAGAACAACAGCCAACAAAGACCATAATTACATAGATAACTGCTCTTCCCCTTCTACTTAAGGCTTTAAGGAGGACTGTATGGCGGCTGGAATGAAAGAGGACCTCACCTTCTCTGGTGTTAGTGAGAACAATTTGAGTATTCCCCATTGACCTTCTTTTGTAGATAGAATCTTCAATGAGTGGAAACAAGCAACCTTACTAAGAAAGGTTCTTGTTGAGTAAGGCCAGCTTTTAGGCCCAAGCTCCTTGTATAGGTTGGGCGCTTGAGCGCATCTTTCTCATATCGATCAAGGCTTTCCTTGAGTCTGAAATAAGGATCAAGAAGCAAGGGCGTAGCAACTGCGCGAAAGCCGTTGCGCCTTAGCGCATCCCTTTTCTTGCAGGAACGCTAACGCGCAACCTTATGTTTTCTTCGGCTTGCTCTGCTGTACGAGCCTCATACAGAGCTGTGCTCCTTTAATATGATGAGAAGAAGAGGAGCCGGCCTCTTTTCCGTACCAATACTTATTTACTACTACACCTTTTTTGGGGTGTATAGCTTAGGTTGTAGAGCATTGGGCTTTTAATCTAATTGTCGCAGGTTCAAGTCCTACTATCCCCAAACCTACCTTACACTCTACTATGAATAAGGATGCATAGTAGCCTTCAAAGATGACTCTTTGGCCTTTCGGCTTGCTTCGGCGACTTCTCCCTTTAAGTGACAGGGGGTGAGCCGCTCCAAGCAGAAAGCGATAGTGAATCCCGAACTTTCCCACGCTCATCCAAACTGGCCTCAAAAAGTGATCGAAAAGCGAAGCCCTTCCTTTCAATCCAAACCAGCGAAGCTGCCCCTATATCTAACCACCGCTCCCCCAATCACATATTGGCACATTCATGATGCATCATAATCAAAATGTCGTAAAGTAAAGAAGACCTATGCATTAGTGTATTGTCATGATCACACATTAGCTCGATTTTATTGACGGCTTGAAGGCGAAGCCACCTATTTATTATGGAAGAGGGCACTCCATCCTCCTAACTCCTTCCACTTCTTCCAGGACAGGAACTACGGCTTGACCTTCAGGGAAGAAGTCCGTGGGACCCCTTCGAGGGCACCTAGATAGTGAAAGGCTATCCCCTTACAAGGCTGGAAGCTAAGAAAAGTCACAAAGTCAGTTGAGTACACTCGAGTAGAGCCCAGACCTTGAGATGGTGGCTGAACTCGCCGCAGAGTTCAAGAGTGGAAAGCCACTTGACTATAAGGAAAGGAGTGCAAGACTATCTTACTGAATGTAATAAGAACCGGTTGCTTGCTTCAGCAAAGTTCTTTTCCCATGCTGCTATCCGCCGCCAAAGCGCTCAAGGGATTTGTTCTTGAATGTCGAGATCAGGGGACTCTATCCAATCCATGCAGAAAATCTGTTTGTGGTGGGTTTGGCTAAATTGATTATTGTTTCTCCGAAAGTGAGTAAAGCAACATTTCAATCAATCGTCACTCCTCATCCTAATATTGGTAGTGTTCTAGAAGACCTATATGAGATTAAAACCTCATTTAAATATCTTCAACCAATTTATTTACTATTCCTTCAAGATACTCTCTTGGATAAAGGAATATCTTGGGAACCAACCTGGAAAAGTACACCTCTTTTTGACCCTCTCGTTCGGTCCTTCAATTTGAAGGTCGATAATAAGGTTGATGAGGCGGCACCCAAGTATGCTAAACATCACAATATCTTTGTGAATCTAAAGCATGAATGGTTGCATTCATCTGGAATATAGAGAAAATTCATTCTCTTCCGGATGGTCACTTTTCACCAGGCATATTATGGATAAAATGGTCCTCTATCCATGAGATCATAATAATACCCATTTTGCTAATGAATCCCTCGAAATATTCAAAAAGCAAGTTGGCCCTTTCCTTAGTTCCCTTTTAGGGGCCTACCGAGGGGTTCCATTAGCAATAGGGAGGTTGGCTCAAATGGTAGAGGGAAGTGGTAAGACAAATATCTTTGCAATTTGCAATTATGTAAAGCAAAGATTACTGTTTCCTGTCCACCAGTGGGCAATGAAGATTCTATCTTGAATTCTAACTGATGGAACCTTCGACCAAGAACTTCCGTTGGTTAGATTACGGTCAAAGAAAATGAGAAATTCTTTCTCTTTTGACTTAAAATCTGCAAAGGATCATTGGCCATTGAGTGTCATTTATTCCCTTATATTCCCTTACAAACACCCTTTTCCCCCCCTGATAGTCCATTAGTAGGTAGGGTGGTCAACTTAGAGGGTGCCCGCCTCCTCTTCAAAAAAGTCCTTTCTAAAATCATTGAATTTGTTTGATCCGATACAAGAGATCAGCCCCAAAGAAAGATATGATTGGTGCCAGCAACTTTCACTTGTTAGGAGTAGGGGCTGAAAAGAACTCTTTGTATAGGTTGGGTGTCACGCCCCTCCTTGGGGGGTATGACTTGCACCTGGTGCCCTAGTAGGACCTGGACTGCTAACTGGTGGGTCTAGGCACATCTGGTGCCTGGCTAGCTCTATCTCAAATTTCTGGAAACAAGGGGCTATATAACGGATGTAAATAAGCCTCCGGCCGACTGGGCCAATAGCCACCTATATAAAGCTTCAGCTAACCAGAATACTATATCTCATAGGGGAACC